ATCATTAATTCCCAAAAGTCGTTGAATTAGCTTGAACACATTCAGAGTTGTCCACTTGGATAACATGCCAACATAAACATAAACTACTCGTGGAGGATGGTTGCACTGCGTGAACCCCAGTGACAGGGCAGCACCATTTAGGGGGCTGTAGTTTGGGGCTGTGACCGTTGCGTAGTTTAGTCAAATTGTGGCATGAGTATGACTGATTACAGTGCAAGTGCCAGAGCTCACTACTTCAAGGTCAGTGTGCTCAAATGCCTGCATGTTACTACATTTTGTCACACCGTTTCAGCAAGCAGGTGAACCCACCTTGCCCCTGAGTAGAGCAGCGCACGATAGCACCAACTAGCTGTTAGTTGCTTGAATCCTTACTCATCCTCTCTGGGACACAGCAATGTCATGGAGCAAACAGGAGGTCTTTGTGCGTCACATTACAATGCACACCCAGTAGGGACTGGGCGTGACCTACATTCAGTATGATATGACAGGAATAGAGGAGTTTTGTAAAACATCTAGGCAAATTTATAATAACACTATTCGTATTCAAAGAGACTAGTTCGATGAATTACTATTCATTACCCACAGAAAGTCTTAACTACATTGTACAGTACATTTTACAATAATTGAACTGTGCAATTAGCTGTCGTTAATACTACATGTACAGAAATATTGTTATGATATATTGTTTTATTTTTCCTTATGCTTCTAAGAACAATAATGTACCAATTTACCATGTGGATGAACACAGTATTTCAGATTGTCCAGAACTAATCTACCTAGAAATGTATGCTATGTGTAATGTGCTAGGCTGGGTAGGTCCAAAGCTTTTACAAAGCCTCTACTGAGGCGCAGAGGTCCACAATGCCTGCTGGGAAAGCCTAATCGTCATGGCGACCACCAACTGGGAGTGATGTCCCCCCCTACTCTCAGTCGTTGAAGACAAGACTGTGCCCATGCAAGAGCGCTGACGTCACAGCCATATTCTCGCCTGCCATTTAGATTAAATATTAATAAGCCCATCAAAAAATACAGTACCAACTATTTCTCTCCAATCATCTGAGCAAGCTTCTGCCTTGTGTTTAACATTGCAGCTGTATATAACATGCAAGGATGAACCATGGATCTGTGAGAGCTGCAGCCTATAACAGGGGAGTCTGGCAGGTGGAAAATGACGCATTAAGACGAGAGGAGAGGTCTTCTCCACTAGTAGTGTAATGCTTATCAGAGGAAAATAATTATTCTTTATTGTTTCTGAATCAGTTCGGTTTACTGCATCTGCTCGGCATTATCACAAAAGAACAATAGTATTACATCGGGGCACAGCAGAGGTCTTGTCGGGTGCCTGCCTCGGAGAGTCTTATAGAATCTGGCCCTCTAAGGCCTGTATTCACACACCATTTTTTCCGAACTCTGCACAAACATGAGCATGTTACTGTCTGGGCGTTTCAATCATGTACAATCAACTAGACATCTCAATACCACAAACTGAGCCAGAGAAAGGTCACTTAAAACGGGAAATGAGCTGCTGTTGTGCTAAACCAGAATGGAAAATGGTAGACTTCTGGGGCGCATGACACGGAACCACGACTGCAGGCGCGCCGGTCACGTCCCGTTGTAATGCGGCAGTTTCCGCTGGTGAACCTTGTGCTATGCTGGACCATTGTCAGCCACGTGGACTGTGGCTAACTTGCCGTCACATCGGATTGCTGTTTAGAATTGATCAAATCAAATTATTTTCCGTCGATTGACAAAAGGAATTGTATCGCTCTCTTGTTCCGACTCAACCGTTCGGTTGTGAATCAGAGAATAAAAAATTGTCGGTGTCGCCATTCTAGTCCGCCATCATGAGAGAACTAGGCCAACGGCTACAGATTAGATGCTGGTCACACGTTTCAGATGAATAAGATTGACATACGGATAGACCAATGATGGGTAACTATTGGAACGCGCTATTGGTTTGATGCTGTGTCTGTAAACGTTTCTTTTAGAAATCAGCCAATCCACATTCGAGTTGAGGGGTAAAGGGCGGATCTTGCTTTACTATAAAAAGGAGAGTCGAGCCACTGCCCCGCACACAAAGAAAGGCAGAGTCATTCTTTGAACGACCCGAACGTTACCTCCTAAAAGAAAAATGAGGGAAATTGTACATCTCCAGGCCGGCCAATGCGGAAACCAGATCGGCGCAAAGGTTAGTAAAACCCTATTTACCCTTTTGAGGCACAAATGTTGTAATTTAATTGAGAACGCCGTGTTCCGTTTTGTTGGAGCCTATGCTTTGTGTGTAGCACTTCGCAGAAACCACACCCTGGGAATATCAGTACGGCTTACTGGTGAAAAACTGTCATTTACAAGTTGAAATAAACCTAAATTCTTGGTTGGGTCGTCTTATTGGCCATTTATTTGTCGAAGTAAATAAGAATTAAAACATTTTCAACCCATTTTAGGCATTTCTAAATCATGTTCAGTTTGACCGTGTGTGATCGCAAACGTTTAATACCCCACATGTATAACCCAACGTCAATTAGGTTCAGATAAGTACATTTTGCCTGATACTAACTTCGCAACGTTTGATTAGCGGAAAATCTTCATTCATCACCAGACAATGGTAGCGTTAATCATATACCGCAATGCAACAAAAGGAAGTGAGGTTTTTGGCTGAGAACCATAAATGAGTTTCATGGAATTATGAGCGGTATGATTATTAGTGTCGCTTCGAAGACGTGTCCATCTTTTGTTAGTTTGATTCGGTAACGGTTTCCGGCTCATTGAGGCCTTCTGGGCAGCCCGGCTTTTACATGCAGCTGGCGGTTTGTGACGTAGAGCGAATTTGAATTCATGAGCCTGAGCAGCAACCAATAGGGGGCCAGGCCGCGCGCGCCGAGGCTGCTACGGCGGGAAATTCCGCTTCAACTCTTAAATGAAAGCCCACCATTTCCCTTCAAATGCCCCCTCAGTAATGTACGTTAACTTTTAGTTTTCTATATATTTCAGTTCTGGGAGGTGATCAGTGATGAGCACGGCATTGACCCAACTGGCACATACCACGGTGACAGTGACCTGCAGCTGGACAGGATCAACGTCTACTACAATGAGGCATCGGGTAAGTTTTAAGCTTCCCTTGATTTATTAATTAAACGTTAGTATTTTGTATCCCTTAATTAAACGTTTTCCCCTAATCTCTTAACTGCTTTTTGTAGGTGGTAAATATGTACCCCGTGCTGTGCTTGTTGATCTGGAGCCTGGCACCATGGACTCTGTGAGGTCTGGACCTTTTGGCCAGGTCTTCAGACCAGACAACTTTGTTTTTGGTAAGTCAACTTGTTAAATTTTTCAAATCTATAGTTTTGTGATCAGTTTTCATACTTAACCTTAAACCTTGTTTTGCAGGCCAGAGTGGTGCTGGCAACAACTGGGCCAAGGGTCACTACACAGAAGGCGCAGAGCTGGTGGACTCTGTCCTGGATGTGGTGAGGAAGGAGGCAGAGAGCTGTGACTGTCTTCAGGGCTTCCAGCTCACACACTCCTTGGGTGGTGGTACAGGCTCTGGTATGGGCACCCTACTCATCAGCAAGATCCGTGAAGAGTACCCCGACCGCATCATGAACACCTTCAGTGTGGTGCCTTCCCCAAAAGTATCAGACACAGTTGTTGAGCCCTACAACGCCACCCTATCGGTCCACCAGCTTGTAGAAAACACAGACGAGACCTACTGCATCGATAATGAGGCCCTTTATGACATCTGTTTCCGTACCCTCAAACTCACAACCCCGTCTTATGGAGACCTCAACCATCTGGTCTCTGCCACCATGAGCGGTGTCACCACCTGCCTCCGGTTCCCTGGACAGCTCAATGCTGACTTGCGAAAGCTTGCTGTTAACATGGTGCCATTCCCCCGCCTGCACTTCTTCATGCCAGGCTTTGCACCCCTCACAAGTCGAGGAAGCCAGCAGTACAGGTCTCTCACTGTGCCAGAGCTCACCCAGCAGATGTTCGACGCCAAGAACATGATGGCTGCCTGCGACCCACGTCACGGCCGCTACCTCACAGTGGCCGCCATCTTCCGTGGCCGCATGTCCATGAAGGAGGTTGATGAGCAGATGCTGAATGTGCAGAACAAGAACAGCAGCTACTTTGTTGAATGGATCCCCAACAACGTCAAGACCGCAGTCTGCGACATTCCGCCCCGTGGGCTCAAGATGGCTGCCACGTTCATCGGCAACAGCACTGCCATCCAGGAGCTGTTCAAGCGCATCTCCGAGCAGTTCACCGCCATGTTCAGGCGCAAGGCTTTCCTCCACTGGTACACCGGCGAGGGCATGGATGAGATGGAGTTCACCGAGGCCGAGAGCAACATGAACGACCTGGTGTCAGAGTACCAGCAGTACCAGGACGCCACCGCTGAGGAGGAAGGAGAGTTTGATGAAGAGGGTGAGGAGGAGCTGGCCTAAATCTTTTCCAAAGTTCTGCAGGCTTTTCGTCGCAGTGTAATGTCAAAGTTCTTTCCAGTTTTCAATTCTGTCTGCATTCAAAGTTCTGCTAGTTTGTTGCAGTGATTTGTAATGTTCAAAAGTTCTTTTCTGTGTCTGTCTGCTTTCAATGTTAATAAAAATTCTTCTGCATATGAAGTCTGCCTTTCTGGTTTGATGACGTGCATACATAAAGATGATCGCTGGTGAATGAGGGACCGTGATCGAGGGATTGTTCTGTGCATCACATGTAGTTAAGTCTACTCGGACGTATCAATACACATGACAAAGGCTCCTATGATAGTTTCATAGTAAAGATAAACTGAATATTGGAGCTGGAAATGACGTTGCGAGTGATCTTGTATATTCTGTAATGCAGAACATTGGCTTTTCTGTAATCTTTAATTGCCTCATGTGCAGTTCATAATATACTGCGGCATTTTATCTGAAATGGTTTAGCTACATTAGAAGGTGATTATGCGGTTTACCAGCGTTGCTATTTTGTAAACTGAACAAAAAATATGGGCCACAATATGTCCATAAAATCTTCCATTTTAATAAGCTCATTGGTGTTGTGGCTGATCTCTAGGTGGCAGTGCTGGCTAAACCATTCTTTTCCACAAGAGGTAGGTGACGATGCTCGTGGTGAAAGCCATCAGGGTCCAGCAGCACGCCTTCTTCACCTGGTGTTCCAGGCCCTGCGTCTCTCCAAAGCGGGACACAAAACCACTCTGTCCCAACACAAAAGACTCAATTTACGATCATTAGGGATACAGTGAGACTAATGTAGGGGAGGGAATGTTTTACAAAATGGCAAGTCTAAAAATGCATTTTATTTGAAAATGTATGGTTTTGCATCACTTCCATTTGTTTGCACCTAATCCTACATGTTCTCAATCTAATGTGAAAATACATTAATTGCTTCAATGTGGCCTATCAAAGTGTTTCTAATTTCATACATTGTTTTTATTTCCATAAATTATTCCTGTTCCTGGGCATAACCTGATCAAATTACTACTCAACTCTGGGCAGTAAAATGAAGCTGAAACAAATAGTCGCTGTTTGCAACCTTACAAACTGCTAAATAAGGGGATCTGTTAGCATCATGGAGTTAAAGAATATGGGGGGGAACTCTGGGCAATACTGATTTTCCCAAACTGGAATCACAAATGCAGTCCGGAAAAGCACTACACCGCCCGTGAAACAGTTGTATCTGAATCTGATTGAATGTGTGAAATATGTTTTGCAGACCACATATAGTCCTTAAAGCCAGGGATTTCATCAGGCTCGGATGAAAGATGATGGGTTTTTAGTTTAGATTGAGTGTACCGTAGCCATTGCAATAGACTAAAAATGCATATCTGCCTTGCTCATGCCCCTGATATTCATGAAAGTGCAACTTAAACATCTGCCACCATAAGATCACTGGGTGTCACTGTTTCACCGGATGGGTCAGGGAATTTGAGTCCCTTATTTAAAATAGCTGCATTCAGGGCTAAGTTATGTGGGCGCTCCATAACGTAATGAGAAGCAGCTTGTGTCTTACCCATCCTCCCTTGTCTCGTATCTCAGGGCAGATGACCCTCTCTACATAGGCCCCCACACGCTGTTTGAGCTGTGGCAGGACCACCGCCATGCCTCGCTCATGGCAATGCAGAGCCATCTGGCCAGCCAGCACATACACCGATAACACCGCGCTCCAGGCCAGGCCTCGGCGCCGTCCCCCAGGGACGGGGGCAAAGAAGTGCTCGTCCAGGATGCTCACGAGCATGGGGCAGGCCGTGTTCTCCGTCACGTCCCGGAAGACGCGCGGCCACCGCCTGAAGAAGATGGGGAAGCGGGTGAGAAGCTCGTCTCCGGCATGGCGCAGGGCTGCGGTGCAGGCTGTTGGGGCAGGAGCCATGGAGCCATCTGCCCCCCCTGAGGTTACATAGTCTATGTAGTCGTGGGCCATCAGAAAAGCCTCCCTCACCAGCAGGTCGGGACTGTTGAGGCCCAGTTTGGTCCCCAGCTCCTCCGACTGACACATAGTCGCTTCCAACTGCCGCTTCACTGGCCACCAAGAGGGACTGTCAGTGGAACGCAGATAAGAGCACCATCAGCCAGCAGCACAAGCCTTCTCTCAGTCACATGGGCCTCTCACGCTCTAAACACCACACAATGGAGAAGAGGAAACATGCATACACACTTGCACCGTTCCAAGGAGGAATCATTCATAACTCACCTCGTCCTCAACACACACGGGTAAAAGAGAAGGTGGCTGTGTCTGTATGTGCTGCGGTCACACTCGACAGCAAGTTCCCTGCTAAATATAGAGCCTTGTTGGAAACTGACACTAATCGCCAACCTTGTATGCACGATCATGGCCGCCCTGACACACAAGAGGAAGGGCAGACTGGGGCACAGGTTAGCTTCATTCGATTCCAAGGCCACGGATGATGTTGATTGTTTCCAGCCTTCTGTGAGGTAGTAACGTTGTGTACATCCCAAAGCACACAATGTGACTCTGTCATTCCTCCCACTCTAACCTCTTCCTTTGTGCTGAATTTAATCCGTTGGCTGTTTCTGCCTTCGATTGACAACGCGTTTCTAATCTGATCTAGCAATTGTGAGCTGGAAACGTGATTATTTTGCCTTTAGCACCTGCAATAATTTCACGGAGTCTTTTAAACAACATATTATAAAAAGCATTCTGGATCTGTAGTTTCTTCCGATATTATTTTCTTCTTATTCTTATTTTTTCTTCCTATTTTTATTAGTGGAAACTACAAACAGCAATATGAAATATTGGAGATTATGAAAAATAAAAAGAATACAATTTTAGGGGTCACGGGACACAAAGCATTGCCTGCTTTCTACGGCAATTACTTCTTTTAATAGCCCGACCTGAAATAATAACAGTAACAATAACTACCACATCACACACATACATGCTTAATTGCATGCTTTGGATGGTTATTTACTGTCAGGTTTGCAGGAATTTAATATTCTCATGACTCATATTGTGCTCCCAATATCTCGGGACGCATTTGTGGTCTTTCTACTAGAAAATGGAAAGCATCTGTTCCCACTGGGGAACTCTGGGAGACCCATCTGCCCCGTTGCGTCACCTGGACGCTGCAACTAAAGTGTAGTCTCTCCCTTTTTTTTTTTTACTTACACACAGTGCTTTCCCTCAGTTGTGTTCATAAAACACCACTTTTAATTATTCCAGTGCTACGAACAAAACCTAATTGCCTCCTTGTGTGAAGTGCAGGAAGTTAGAAACAGATATTCAATTCAATTCATTTTATTTTGTATAGCCCATAATCACAAATTACAGATTTGCCTCAGAGGGCTTTACCCTCTGAGGATATGAAGCGTCAAACCCAAACCTAACCCCAAGAAGACACCTGAGTGAAACAATACATTTCCTTTTTACTCATTCGGGTGAACTGGTCCTTTAAAAGTGCAGGCAAACCAGTATTTCACCACATGGGAGCAGTCATGTATAACTGGAGACACACTCGCGCTGTGTATCTTGGAGTCTGATTGCTCTGCCTGGAATTTGAACTCATATCCACTTGTTTACATCCTCATCAGTAGTCTTACCTCTCTATACATTAAGAAATGCATATAGATCCAGACAGTCTTAGATTCAAGTGAATGTTTTGATGAAGTATGGATGTTGACTGTGAGATCTCCCCCGTGGAATAATACTCAGGCACTCATGAACAAAGCTCCAGTGTCCTTTGAGTGTTTACTCTTCTTTTATGGAATGGCTTCATGCGTCAAACAGGGATCACTCCGATGCTCCGCGTGTGGCATATATGTACGGTGTAAATACGGATTTATAAGCATGATCAAGTGGTATCATTAACAGCTCTGTGTTCTCTGGACATCTGGCGCAGCATACATTGTGAACTGTGCATGGGAGGGAAGATAAGGCTAACCACCCAGAAAGAACCCTACCCACCCCCTGCACACACACACACTTCTGAGTGTGCCAGTGTGTGTGTTAGTGTCAAAGCGCTACTTTTGTGTCACTGCTGAGCCATGGAGCAGGGGAAGTGACATGTTGATAGAGGCTCCTATCAGGCCTCTCACATGTTCATGTGGCAACATCTGCAAACGGGGGGCTTCCTGTCTCCTGTATAAGAGCTTCTTGATATGTAGATGGTTGCATTGCAGAGCAAGGTGCAAGATTAACAGGCAACAGGATGTAATACATGGTTGATTTTCATGATTTTACTGTGAATTATGCTGCGCCTTGAAAACTAGCTTAGAATGAAGAACCTTCAGTTGAAAGGGTTGAAGTTATAGAATGGATGCCTTCTTCCTTCTACCCAGAGAGAATCCACACATCGAACCTAAGACCTTCTTGGTGTGAGGCGACATTGCTCACTGACCACACCACCGTCTTACTTCTGTTCAGAACAATACAATATTACGTACAATATTGTGATGTTGGGCTATCATCGTGTTCTTAGTTCGGTATGTCAGCATGCTAACGCTGAATTTTACTAACCACAAAGTACAACTGAGAAGTGATTTAGTCGTAACGAAAGGATTGGAATTATTACGTTAGAAAATGTCGTAATTAGAATTATGACTTGTAGGATTATTTGGCAGAACTACATAAGTGAACCATGAATGTCTACAAAAAGCTGAGTGACTGAATAAGCTTTCCCTTGAAGAATGGCTGGAAACGTAGGAATCATTGAGGCAACGTCATGACCTTATTAACCGGTGACCCCCATGGCAGCTTCATCATTTCCCAGAGCAAACAATGCTCTGAAGGGCAATTAATTAGTTTAGTGAGCAACTATCCTGATCCCTTTAAAAGCACATAGCAACATAGCACATACGAATAATCACAATCTTTACTCATTTTCTCACCAGTAGCCTTCTATGCACCTCCTCCTTTTCACTAACCTGCGGTACCTTGTGACTTTGTACCTTGCTGTTATTCATTCACAAGAAGGGGGGGGGGGGGGGGGTAGGGTTAGGGACACATAGCAAGTAGGCTTTTCCTGCAGGAATGAATATGTGTAAATGGTTACATAGTCCGGACGGACAGGTGGCGCTGTGTAAGGTAGCTCCTCCCATCAGTGTGTAAATGGGTGAATGTCATGTAGTGTTAAAGAGCTTTGAGCGGCTACTCATTTCAATGAACGATCTGTGCATTTCGCAGGTTGACGCCCCTATTGCAGCAAACGTATTGTGCACCACCCCCAGTGTCTGGACTCCAAGGGGGAATATGTCTTATCTGATTTCGGTATCCCAAACCCTGGTATATCCTACGGAATGATGTAGTCCAAGCTCCAAAGACTTGCCTGTGCTATGCATATTTATGCTTATCCTTAGTTTCAAAGTCTCTCCTAACAATAATTTATCAACCCTTTAACCTAGGTTCAGGGCTTTACAAGGGGGCCTTTTATCATGGGTCACACACCCTCCTTCTAATCAACACAATAGTTCATTATTAAAATGTTATTTTCATGACTGCTTTTAGTCCGAACACAAGTATTTGTAATAATTTAATCCCAAGCATTCCAACCCCTCCAGGCCTCATAGCCCAATGGAAATGGGAGAGTCTCAATGATAAGGGAAATGAGGTGTGCATCCGCTATGGAGCAAATTCAACTATAGGACAGCAGGGCCTTGTTCTGCTCAATGGAACAACGTGTAAAGGCTGGTGCATCCTTCTGCGTCTGCATCGACACAATTCATGGGTCTTGCGTGTGTTGCAGAGCGATTCACCTCCAGAACAACAGGTGGAGTAACGTGTTTTTGTTGAAGACGACCTAGAGAGTCACGTCTATTTATTTATTTGTTTATTTATGTATCATAGACTTTATTGCCCCGTGCATCGCCACTGCTGCTTTTCATCGCGGACACATTTGTCCCGTATTTTCCTCCACAACTTTGTGCACCTCACGACCGGCAAACAGGCGTTTGCGGCGATCTCCCTCCGTGAATCCAACCCGCTTCTACAACCCGCCAATGACGGCTTGTAGAAGTGGTCATATTTACGCATTTCTTCCGACAAAAGTTCTTAAATCTGATCCGTTCTCTCATGAACATTCTTCGTTTTAATAATGGCGGTATCGGGCTATGAAAGCGGAAATGTGAGACTCTGTAAAGGACGTAGTTAGCAGACCAATCGCAGCCTTGTGCGCTGCGGGATGGTTGGCGTCGAAAGCGCCGCAAGCCTAGAAAAATGGCTCGACACACGCAAGGACGCAAGGAGGTGTGAAAAGCGACGCAAGGAACGCGCAAGGGGGTCTTGCGTCTGCAAGCTGAAAACGCAGAAGCACAAACTAGGCTTAAAGTGTGTGTTTTCTGTCATGATTAAGCAGCATCTCCTAGGAGGGGCCTTTCCAACTTTTGTGCAAAAGTTGATGCACTTTCAAGTTCCTACCGGTTGAAAAAGGCTCCAATAAAAGGTGACACAGAAAGGTCGAACAAAGCAAACGGATGAAAACCGACCTCCTACTGCGCCTCCCCACCAACCCGCAGTCAAACAATCGCGATCTCCACCCCTCTCGCTCAGCGCTCCCATCAGCCTCGCAGTGGGAGGTGCGGTCAGAAAGAGGAGGAAATTGCTCTGAATTTGTGGGTAATTGAAAGCAGCTATATCCCCTGTGTCTCCATCTCTACCTGCTCTATAAACCCCCACACCCCTTCTCGCATGGCGCCCACCTACCAATGCAGCCCGTCCCCATCCCGTCTGCTATCTCCCACTGGACTGAATGCAAACGATAGCGCACCCATTTGCTGTCTGGAGGAGAGGTGACCCACTTGTATGGTTTGCTCGCTGTCTCCTGCCCCGCCTTCTCCCAATTGCAGGTATTGATGCCCTGCTATTGTTTCCGCCTGCTCAGGGGGTGGAGTGGTTTGGGGGAAATTGGGGGACCCCTCAGGTGTTTGATGGCTTTTATTGATTCACACCAGACTCTCCAGCTCTCATTTACCCTCTACTGTGGCATACAAGCTTTTTAGATAGCTGCTCTGCAAAGACACCCATTGTTCAGAGGCATTATTATGTTCTACCAATGTTCTACCGCCACCGTGCACACTTACTTCTCATGCATGACTGATCAGCTTGAAGGACATTTGCACTTTCCACACCTCAAATTAAAGTTGTTCCACTTAAATATCTCTAATTGCACGGTCTGTTTTAAAAAGAATTAAACAGCCTCCTTTTTCTTTATAACACTAAATGTATACATCAAACACCGCAATTACAGGACAATTTTAAGGTCACTGAAATCTTCCATTTATCCTCCATTTTCTTTTGGATGTGTGCACGGTCACACACTAACGTTGAAAGCACTCAATGTGTTAGGGAATAAACACATAAAACATATTTACATTTCACTCAAACTTCCCTTTTTCACAAGACACAACTCAATATGAATTTCAATTCAATTCAATGGGGAAAAAAGGGAAGAAACCATAGGGAGAACATCAGAGGAGGATCCCAGTCCCAGGAT